TTAGTAGAGAACTCTTTAATAATTATACTAAGTACTTATTAGTATATAGTTATATTTAAGCTAAAGGCAGCTTAAATCTAGCTAGTTTCCTCTTAATATTAATTTACCTCTCTTTAGAAAGTTACTATAGTATTACTACTTAGTAGGCGCTTTATAGTAATTATAGCATTATAGCTAATAGCTTAATTTATAGCTAATATTATATTAGCTATAGCCTGCTCTTTATATACTTCTATAATAGTATTTTCTTTTATAAGCACTTTATAATATTATTATATTAAGATAGAAAGAAGAGAGAGGCTAGAGCTTAAGCTAAATATACTCTAGCTATAATACTTACTTATAATTATAGTTTTTTAGCTATCTTTATAGCTTTCTTTACTGCTATTATTATAGCTTTTTATAACTATCTTTAAGTTATAAAGGTATTATTATAGTTAATTATAGCTTTAGTTATAGCTTAGTATATCTCTACTTTAGTATATACTTAAAGTATTACTTAAGCTCTCTTAAAAGTATTACTCTTTAAAATATAGCTTATAAGTTTATTATATACTTCTTTTTAAGTTTTATTAAGTTAGTCTTAAGTTATAAGTAGCTTATTACTACTTAGTTTTTATTTATTAAACTATTTTTATTTTATATTTAAGTAGTAGTAACTCTAGGCAAGCTCTTTATTACTACTATTAATAACTATTAGTATTTTCTCTACTGCCTTGCCTTTAGTGCAGCTACTATATAGTATTATAAGTAGAGGCAATTAAGTGCAAGAAAGAAGGTTTTTATATTAATTTATATTTTAAAGGTAGTCTTAAGCTAGCGCAGTAGTACTATAGACTAAAGGCTGAAAAGTTTTTCTTAAGCTATATTTATTTATTATAGTAAAATAAAGTTTATAGTATATTAAGAACTAGCTTTATAAGCTACTATATATAAGTATTACTAGTATTAACTATAAACTTAAGAAGAGAAAAGAGAGAAAGAAGAAGCTCTTTATTCTCTCTTTTCTACTTATTATATATATATAAGTTTAATATATATTTAAAGTATATTTAATAAGGCACTAATATAGTGCTTTATACCTACTTAAGCCTACAGCTTAAGTCTATTATACCTACTTAATACTTTAACTAAAGTAAAGACTAGCTCTAAGAAGGTATTAAATATACTATTTATTTATTTATTTATTTCTCTCTCTTTTTAACTTTTTTCTTAAAAAATTCTACTTTCTTTATACTTATTAAGAAGCTACTAGAAAGATAAGCTTTATAAAGCTATTAATAAAGTATTTAATACTATAGCTTTAATATAGCTTTAATAGTAATAAGTAATAATAAATATTTACTTACTATAAACTTTTTAAAGAGTTTATTTTTACTTATTATATTAAGTTATTTATTAACTTATTAAACTACTAGTTATTTTTATAGCTAAAATAATATAAAGTTATATTAGCTTATTAATAAATAGTAGCTAGTTATAAAAAGTTTTCTACTTAATAAATAAGCTTTATATTTTTAATTTCTAAATAAAGTTTTTCTTTTACTTCTCTCTTACTTTTTTATTTCTTAGCTTTTAAAAAGTAAGTAGAAGTAAGTACTTAGCTTTAAAAGTAAGAGAGAGCTTAACTAGTAGTAAAAAGTAATATATTCTTCTTTATATATTAATAAAGAAGAAAGCCTAAATAACTCTACTTTTTTTCTTTTTTTTAAAGTTTTTTTAGCTATAAATAGCTATATATAAATAGTATAGCATTAGCCTGCCTAGTGCTCTAACTAGAGCAGGGACTAGCCCTAAGAAGGCGTTAAATACACTATCCATCTATCTATCTATCCCTCTCTCTCTCTTTTTCACAACTCCCCCCCCGAACACCTACGTATGTCTAATGTCTATTCTCAACGAGGACGCCGCAAGCACACCTACAAAGCATTTTAATCCAAGGAGGACCGTCATTTGCGGCCAAGTGTCATGCGCCCAAATCGCGTCTCCGGTGCCAGCCGAGTACTCTCTGTATTTTACCTCAGCTTTCGGATCCAAGTTATATTCTCTCGTCTGTAACTAGTCTATTCTACCGTCTTATTTATTCCCACGAGACCTTGTGAGGACGAGGGTGAGCAGCATTAGACAGCAACTTGATCGAACTCATAGCGCTCGGATTTTCTCTTTATTCTCTTCTCTTCTCTTCTTGGTTTCGTATCAAACAGAAACATGCATCAGCAAAAAGAATTTCCATACTCCTCACGTCGGTAATTGGGCTGCTCGGCCCTACTACCGCTGCCCTCAGGTCCCAGGATGAGCATGAGATTTGGCTAGACGAGACGCAGAAAAGCTATATGACGAAACAACTGGATAGACGATGGCGATAAAAATTTGCCCACTTATCGAGAGAGGAAAGAAAAGAAACAAACGAGGATTTAGAGTGACAAAATCCATCCTGTTCACGACCCATGTACCACGCATATCAAACGCCGAGGCTCCCCACCCTTAATGACCAGAAAATAACACAAAAGTTCGTACACTGGAATCGCAGCATTGGGGGCTGTAACCACAGCAGCGACCACTAGGCCGAACAAAACACACAAACAACGCTTATGCAAACTCTCGGGGTCTCTGAGCGCTTCCGAGCTGTGGCTCGTCTTCGCGATCCTTATCACCAGTGCTCCAGGGTGAGTTATTCGACGGCGACCCAATAGCTTGCAGGCCAACCTGCTGTGGCGGTTGCTCGTAGCCCGGCGGAGGGCCCGAAGAGTATCCCGCGTTGTAGCCAGAGTCCGCTCGCCACACGGGCTGCTGCTGAGTACTGACAGGTTGGAATTTTTGGCTCTTCTTGAGAACCCGCAATCGTAAGAATATGAGCGTTGCAGTAACGAGAATTACCAATGCTCCGAAGGTGATGGCTGACGTGGGATTCAGAGCAAAGGTAAACCCACTACAACAGACGTCAGTAAGTAGAGAGACAAGTCTGCGAGGGACGGGCGGGAGTCGTACATGATACCATTGACAAAGGCAGCGAGTAGGATCAGTTTTCCCATCCACCCATGTATCTTGCCAAACACGGTCGAAGCCTTTGTCCGCCGGTGTTTGATGTGATGTTTCACTCCTAGCCCCAACTGTGCTATGATGAGTGCGATAATGGTGTAGCCGAGAATTTGGTGAGGGTGCCTGAAGCTTCGAGACTATGTATGCCCGTGTTAGCAGCAGCAACGTACAACCCTCTATGGTGTTGCGAGTCGGAACCTACTCTCTGATAGTGGAAACTGGCCAGTATCCCTATGGCCAAACCAGCCAGCACGCCAACGGTGGCAACAATCTGATTCAAGGGATGCCATTTTGCCCAGCCAAAGGTGGGCAGGAGCACAACGCCGCCAATGCCTATCACACCCAATATGGAGAAAACCATTAACGCGGCATGAAATCCGGCCTTCAAGTCTTTCTGGTTTGTAGCTCTGGATATCTGTTCAGTTCCCTCGCTCTTGGAATCCTTGTTTAGGACAGGCGCATCCGCGGCACCTCTTGTCCTCCCCATGTCGATACTAAACACGCCGTGCTCTTGATGGAACTTCAACCCGGCACTGGGGCTATCGTCCCTGAGAACTCCCTGAGGGCCAACAGCGTATATAGCTTTCTGCGTCGGCGATGAGACATCGATGTAGCCACCAGACGTGTCCCCACTGGGCCATGTGCGACAACTCTCGGTGCACATGGCAGAGAAAACCATGTAGTCGTCAATAATACCCGTGTTGTTTGGAATGACTGTCCACCGCATGTCATGGAAGAAGGCGGGCTCGTAGTTGCCATGGGCCACACGCGGTGAGAAGGTGACGTTGGTGCCGTCTCCGTTCTCGTAGATGATGAGGAACAGCGCACCCTTCATGTCGTCGCTGCCCAGGCCGACGCCGCCCCAGGTGTATTTCCTCGGGACGCGGATGCTGAAAAATGTGCCCCTGGGGTTGTCGTCATCATGGGGGACGGTGAAAGCGAAGGCGACGTTGTTGCCTTTGGATATGAAGGTTGATTGACCGGGGGGGTTTGCATCCTGGGCGCGAGTCGCAGGAGCAAAGGCTGCGGTAACTCGTTAGCATTGTTCATGTCGGCGCGCTATGCCATTGTTTGTGCGCAACCCAGGCGATGTCGCCGAGAGGCAATCGGCACAGAGAGACGAAGGCCGTCAGTTGGCCCGGGGCGAAATCTTACCGGCAGCGGCCAACACGGCACGCCAAAGCGATGGCCGCAGCATAACTGCTGGCGGGACCTGTGTCGACGACGATGTGTAGGATGAGAGGCTGTGTGCCACACCACGCGTACCGTGAAGCAAGCTGGAGAGGTTGAAAATTAATTTACCTCAGAGCGGGCAGAAGTCGACCTCATGCCATCATGGCGGGAAAGTGGGCGGGTTGCCGCGCGCGCACAGAGAGAGTCAGTCTAGTCAGTCAGTCGCAGTTGCCATGCGGAGTCCGGTCTTGATCCCCTTGGCGTTGTGTGGCTGTACCTGGGGCCGCCAGGCGCAACTTCAACTTCACGACTCGGAACCTTGTGCGCAGGCAGGCATGTCACTGCTTGCGTGCGTGGTGCCTGCCACATGTCCGGATCTTGTCCACGAAATGACTGCGTTCTGATTTGCCGAATCTGCCCAACCCGTACCAGGGGCAGGAGCAGCCCCCCCGCTTTTCCTCACGCCAGAGCTTTTATAGTTAGCACGAAGCCGGAACACTTCCAGTAATGGCAAGGCACAACGTGGGAATCTTGGATCTGGGCTTTATATTTTATTTTATATATTTCATTTCATTTATTCATGTTCATTTTCTCGAGCAACGTTTCCCTCTTTTTCTCCACGGTTATCAAGACGACATGGCGCCATTCAACAATATCCGCACAGAGCGCGCCGGAAACGCCAGCCAAGTCCCAATGTCGTCACCACCGTCAATGCGTTCAGCTGCGGCCACAACTGGCATGCGCTTCACTGCTTGTGAATCCAGCCTATGCAAAACAAAAAAATATATTAAAATAAAAACAGAGAGCCCAACCCAGTGACACGCCTGTTTCGTCGATGAGACGCTCGTATATGCTTTACCAATCATCATTCCGCAATGGTCTTCGCCCCAGGCTCCAATTTGCTCATGCCAAACCGTTCAACTTCAACTGCGCCTGCTGCGCTTCGCCTATATTGATGTGGTCGAGCTGTCCAAGGAGATGTCAGCGTCCAACACAATCCAAAGGCAACACGCAACCTGTATCGCACACATACCAAAATCACATTGGGTTGAGGCTTGCCCTGGCTCTCACACAAGTCGACCTGCTGGAGGATGGAACCCACCGAGTTGGTCCTCTTGGTGTTAATCTGATCCGGGACGACGATGTCGCCAATCTTGAAGTTCAGCATGTGGTTCATTATTCCCAAAAGCGTCTTCGGATCCCCGCCACGTGGTCGGTCGACACTGCATGTCGGGAAGTTTTTGTCCGTGATGCCGTATGGCGTCTCCCAGAAGTAGTCGAATTGGCCAATGATGTAGTCGACCTTGGATTGATCCGAATGGTAATCTGGACCGCAAAGATCAACACCCATTCAAACTAAGCATCGACCCAGTCCTGGCACGAGGCCAATCGCTGCTTACCCATAAAGACAACAAGCCTAGTCTCTGCGTCGAGCAACTGTTGCAGCGTCGGCCACCGGTCCTTTGACAGCACACCTTGTGGATGGAACGCATATTGAGAGAGGCCTGTGCTCTGGAAGACGGCGTCGAATTGCCGAACCGGAATGGCATCTTTGTTAGTCAGAAGCAGCGTCACAACCTCGTTCGGGTTGCCGTGCATCCAGTCCGCAATCTCCTGCAGGTACTTCCTGAGCGTGCCCGAGTCCAACTCCCAGCAAAAGGTATGGCACATCTCAATGGTACCGAGCTTGTCGTGCGTCTGCGCCTGCAAGAACCGCACACCAAGGTTCAGCTGCTTTGTCACGGATACATACTGGTTGTGCGCAAGTGATCTGCCGACGAAAGCACTATCGTGGCTCCCCACAAACGTCACCTCGGAGTATTTCTTGCCACAAAGCTCGCTGTGGCCATTGCACGCGGCCAAGACTGTGGCCGTAAAGGGCACAAGTCGTCGAAGCTTCATGGCGTGACAGGCGCGTTAGAGACGTGGGCCTCGCTCAAATAGTTTCCAAGCACATGGGCGTGAAGACGACGATGGAAGCGAAACACGACGTACCGAAGACCACGACACGATGGGCCACCAGCCCGCATCGAAGAAATCTTGCACGGCGGCTTTATATGCTTCCCTCAAAGCGGCCGGCAGATGGGCCAGCCCATCGAGACATGCCATTGCCCATGTGCCCGAGTCTCAGACGGGGCACGCCAACCCGAGATGGCATTGGGGGGAGGTCAAGGGTGATGCGTGATGAGTGATGGCTGACTGACGAGCCGACCGCCCTTGTCTCTGATCAAATGTCTGGTTCTAATAATTGATCCTGCTCGAGTGGCCGTGACCTCTGGACGCGGGACTTTGAACTCTGGACTCTGGGGGTGGAGAAGCGACACCTGGAGCGCTTAATTAAGCAACTTGGCAGTCAGTCTTTTTTCCGTGGCTTGGCCCGGCCGGGCCTGCACAATGCACATGTGGTCTGGCCGTGGCCAGCTGTTGCTTTGACGCTGGATGCATTATTTATGCATTTACTGAAGCACAGTGCCCATCAGCAGCGGCGTCCTGCCCTGAGCTCACTCAAAAACAAAGCTCTGCACATGGTCCGCCTTGCGGCATGGCGGTGATTCTGACCTCGCATCTCGCGGTACGTGTGGCCTCCTGTCTTTGGAGACGTTTCGTCGTGCAGCTGGGCCGAAAGCTAGCTGGGAAGCATTGTTAGGCTTGTTACGGGTCGCGGAATGCACGCACTCAACCAAAGTTTGCTGCCGCAACTGGCGGTGCAGCGCAGAGTCGCAATATGTCAACCGCAGACGGTAACGGCGGCCCCCACCCACAGACGTCAGGTCACTGGCTATAACTACTAGGTGCCTAAAGTACTTCGGTACCTCCAAGTACTCCGTACGGAGGACCTGGTAGTATGCAAAATTGTGGTGTCGGTGCCCCCGCCAGGACCCTGCTCCTGCTGCTTGGCTCTTCCCATCCCGCGCGCCACTCTGTCCTTAAGAGGCGCCCGATACACGGACAGTCACCTCACCATGCTTTCTGCCTTCTGCCGCATCTACCAGCACATCATCGTCATGCTTCATCGCTCACCATGTCAGCGCTCCTCTCTCTAATAGGCTGGTCCTTCCTCCCCGGCGTAAGATGTCCCTCTCCCGTTCCTGTCCCGTTCCTCTTCCGTCCCTCTTCCGTCCCTCTTCCGTCCCTCCTCCGTCCCCCTTGCGTCCCTCGTCCGTCCCTCAAACCGCCGTCAGCTAAACTTCCCCCCAGCTCGTTTCATCCTGGGTCCAAACCATCTACTACGGCATCACCATCCGCGCCGGCGACCCCAAGCCCCAAGCCGGCACCCCGCGCTACGCCCAACACCGCCGCCGGATCCACATCCTCGTCGTGGCCGCCTACCTACTCTACACCATCTACGAAGCCGACCACGACCTCCGCCGCAAGTCCACCTACTACGCAGACCTCGGCCTGCCAATCTCCTCCACCGAGAACCAGGTCAAGTCCCGCTTCCGCCGGCTCGCCGCCCTGCACCACCCAGACAAGACGAGCGCCGAGGAGGCCGCCGAGTCGGCCAACGTCTTCATCCATCTGAAGCTCGCTTCGGACACGCTTCAGGATGCCGCCAAGCGGTTCGCCTACCAACGGTTCGGCGACGCCATAAACAGCTGGGAAAAGTGCGTCACCATCAAGGACTTTGTCACACAGGGCCTGCTGTACAACACCCTTCCGCACTACAGCGTCGCCGCCGCCACCATCTACCTCCTCGGCCTGTTCGGGTACTTTGAATTCGCCAAGTTCTACAGGTGGCTCATCCTCGTGGCGCTGTGCCTCATGGAAGTCCACATCGTCACGAGGCCCGCCTTCCCGCCGCTCTTGAACGCCGTCAATGCATTCATGACGCGGGTCGCCTTTCGCGACGCCTACCTGCCGTTCCAGTTCATCGCGCTGCTCAGAAAGCTCGTCCTGACCGTGTACATTGCGCTGTCGCAGATAGGGCCGCTGCTGGTGCAGGGTGCCGGGCCCAAGGGCACGGCGGCGGCCCACGACGAAAAGTCCCTGCGGGAGAACCTGACGCGGCTCGAGACCTTGTCGAAGCAGCTCGATGCTGACGCCGCGCGGCTGATGGACATGGAGGTCGCGCCCTTCAAGGGCGACTCGGCCAGCGTTCACAACCTGCAGAGCAAGATGAGGGAGTGGCTTGTGCAAAATACCATTCGGGCGGACCCCATGGTGAGAGACGCCATGGGCAGGTCGTACGCGAAGCGAAGAATAGATGCCCCCAGCGGCGCAAAGGGAAATAGATAGAATTATCTCGTCCGATTTTCGTCTGCTTTTCCTTTGGGTATTCAGCTCGCATTGAGACATGTACAACTCGGACAAGAGTATATTTGCGCTAGACTTGACATACAATAGACAATGACATCTAGCACTCGGCCCCGACAATGCGCAACATCGCGTTAGCAAACGCGATTAGAGTATAATGAGAAAATATACGATTCGCTTCATGTCCCCTAAAACACAGGCCTGCATGTTCGTCCGCGGACACACATGCCAGTCTATGCAGCCCAGACCCGGACGTATTTCCGGACCAAGTGACGACTGTTCAGAGACGCTGTGCGCCTCTTGTTTCAATTGGAATCAGACAAATGCCCACAAACGCCGACAAAATCAAAATAGCAGACAGGTAAATGGGGATCGTTGCCCCATCTCCAGGAATACTCGCAGCCAAAATCGGCGCTACTAACCCAGTAACTCTGTTTAGGAAGCTTGCCACTCCCGTTCCGGCACCTCTGACGGGGGCGGGAAAGATTTCGGGAGTGAACGCATATAATACACCATACATGATGTTCTGCGAGAACGCGGCCACGCAGGAGAAGGCCAGCTGGGCGGTGGGCGTCGTGCCAAACATGACAAAGAGGAAGAGGAATATCGCGGACACGAGGGTGGAACCAGCCAGGGTGCCGCGACGGCCGAAGAAAAGCGAAGGTGAGTCAACAAGATATGCGGCCAGCACGCTGCCTGGCACGCCCATGACGGAAGTGATGGCGTAGTTTCGGTACGTCTCATTTGAGATTGCCGATGTTTCGGATGGCACTTGGTCAGCGGCTCCGCCGCCGTGGCTGTGAGAAAAGTATTGCGGAAGGAAGGCGTTGAAAAGAGGATAACCCATCCCAATGCTGGCCCAAGAGAACCAAATGAGGGCTGTGGCCCAGCCCAACGTCTTGTTTTCGAAGAGGGGCTTGAGCCTCGCTCCCGAGAACCCCTTTAGCTTGTTGAACAGAGCGCTGGGCCTGGATGAGCCGGGACGGTGTGGCCCCGAGGCTTCCTGTCCGGAGTCGTCGTCTGCAGCGACCAGGTCCAGGATTTCCGACGTGAGCCAAGTCTTTGTCCCGTTTGTGTAGGCGATGCCGTGAACGACTGCCACGGCCTCGCCCTGGCGGCCTTTGCTGAGGAGAAACTTTGGAGACTCGAAGAGGCGGAAGATGAAGAACCGGATGACGAACATGGCGAATGTGACGACGCCAATGGAGACTATAAAGTACCGCCAACCTCGGTCCGCGGCATAGTTGGCGATAAAGTACCAAGCTGCTAGGCTTGAAACTAGCTGACCGACCGGCCACCAGACCGAGAGCAAGGTGAGAAGGGAACTAGACGCGTCTGGGAGGAACTCGAGGAACAATGCACCATCCACGGGCAAGCTGCCGCCCACGCCGAAGCCCAAGGCGGCGAAGAGGAAGCTGACGGCCCCCCAGCTCTGTGCATAGGCTGACGAGATGCCAAACACGCTGGTTATGAGCAATGTAAAGTTGAAAGCGGCGCGACGGCCGACAAGGTCGGATCCGATGCCCCAGATGAAGCTCCCCAGAGACAGGCCGACGAAAAGAGCGCTTGTCGTGTATCTGACTGTCTTTTCTGAGACGCCAAACTCGGCAGATAGTGACGGCAGGGTGAGGGACACGCCTTGCAGCCAAAGGTTGTCGGCGAACCACCCGAAACCGCAGAGTGTAAACAACTGCCAATTGTATTTTCCCATGCCGATATCCCCAATGGCCTTGTTGATGAGCTTCGACTTGATCTCGTATGTCGTCCACTGGCCTTGCCGGCCCCTCCTCGTCTCCTTTCGCAGGCCGTCGATGGTGTATTCGGCCGCCTCCATGTGCAGCATTCCTTGGGTCTCGCTGTCCTCCTCGGCTTTGCCCTCGGCGGCGCCGGCTTCGACGTCGTCGTCATGGCTGTCTCGTCGTGATTCGTATTCAGTACGGCCGGACCTTGCAGACTTGCTATGGAGGTGTGCTTCTTCCAACGGAACGAGCACACCAGTGTAGCCGTGGACGGATTCAACACGGCCGAGCCCTGTTTGGAATGGGAGCCTCATGTTGAATGCTGCGGGAGCGCACCAGAATCTGCGTCAAGGCAAACCATGGATTTGAGCATTGGCTCAACGGCGATGCGAATCTCGGGAGCGAGGGCGGCCGCACATGGAAAACACTGTTGATGGTGCTTGGGGCCGAAGGAGCGTCCTGCGGGAGTTGTATCGACCGAGACTTTGTTCAGGTGCTCGTCCCCATGGAGAAAGGTTGCGACGGCAACGACCGCAGTGTAGACGGGACTGGTGAAGCAAAGCTTCCAGCATCAATGGGGAGGAAGCAAAAGCAAAACGGCAGGGAAGGAACGAGATGAATGGATGCCGGTCCCAAGGACGGACCGGGGACGTCAGATGCCGCACGGCAGCAGCACTCCTGAAACCCCACCTTGTCCCGGACGGACCGCGATGTTGCAGGGGCGCAGAGGGGTTCCTAGCGGCTGTCCAATAGGGGCCCGACGTCCTGGGACCCGTGTCCAGTTGCGGTCTGGTACGTTTTGCGGCGGGGTCTACAAAGTCAACTCTACACCAATCAGATTATCCATCCCCGTATCCGCATCTCACCGAAGTTGGCGTGTATTCCAATCCGTAACTACTTGGAGTTAACATTGAGCGCGCAGTCAGCACTCAAATGGCAGCCAGAGGCCAGGTTTTGGGTGTGTCATGACATACTGTCTCTTAGGGCGACCCCATCACGACAATGCTCCTATGAACAAGGGATCTGGCAAGAACCGCCGTGTGATCTTCCCAAAGATAGGCTTTATGAAAGTGACCCACGATGCGATCCGAAGCCTGCCAATATTTATATGGCGATACCACGGGAGCATTGTGGAGGTACAAATGGCCATCTTCTATTTTTTTTACTAGTCATCAATTAATGAACGGCTCCCCCAAGTCTGTACAATGCAATCCTCAAAGTTGAGCCATAGTTGACCTGACAAGGAAAGGACAGGGATGGAGACGTAGAGAGGATTATGCCAGGACATTTATATACCCGTAGAAGCCATCAAGGGTAAATGAACATTTAAATAGTTACATCACATATCCCCATGCACAAGCGTACTTATTACTACTCAGTCTCTGGATCGCTCCATGAGCAACTTCGGCCCTGGCATCGCCGCAGCCATCGTCCGTCCCGAGTATGCACTCGGTCTTGAGCCTACTTCATCGTTCGGCTCCTTGCTCCGCTCACGGTTTCAGAGTGTCTAGCATACATTGGCATTCGTGAATCTGCGTGCATTGGGTGCCCAGGTCATGATGAGCACAGGCCTGACTTGGACAACGAAACCCTCGTTTCCTGCCTATTGAAGAGCAAAGAAGGAGTACATACATACAGCTAAGTTTTGTGCATCTCATCTCGCTAGAAACTCTGTCCATCCCACGGCCAGCCGCCCGAGACATGCAACAATACGAGCGTCCACGCTCTCGTGTTCCCTCACGGCAGTAGAATTCTGCATCATATCTCCATCATCCCTCCAGAGCCAACTTGCTGTGTCGTCAGTTGGCAAATTGGGAGGAAAAATAAATGATGCTGCATCATCCATCAGTACAGTCAAGCACTTGTCGAGCGCTCTTAATCCAAACTGGGGTTCTGAAAAGTGGCAGCAAAAGTCCCCAACGCCTTGCAAAGAATTTGGCCAGCATCGCCATCATCTCTTAGTCTCTCCGCCTCATTTTCTTGTTCTTGTTGCCGTGGAGGGAGGCCTTCTAGCCCTCTTCTTCGTCGCTTGTCGCGTCAATATTCGCTTTGGATGCTTTCTTCTCTTTCTTTGCTGTCTCGACTGAAGCATCACCGAGGTCGCCGATATCCTCCACCGACTGGCCCATTTGTCGAAGTGCGGCGTTAATACCAGGAGCGGCCTTCAACAACGCCGTGTACTGTGCTACGGAAAGGGAAATTCCCTGGTTGTCGAGTGAGTATGAGCACCGAAGCTGGAAGGTGCAACTGTACTCAAGATACGCACCTTTTTCCCTGGGAGCATTTTGCCATCCTTCTCATAATACTCTCTCAAGTTAACGAGGCAGACGTTCTTGAATTGCGAGACTCCCACGCGCCGCTTGTTTGAGAGCTGCGGTACGATTAATTAGCCCCAACAACTCAGCCAAAGTATCACAAGAGATGCAAGTTGCACAGCTGACCTCCCAAAATGGGTTGCCCTCGTCATCTTCGCCATCTGCGGCGACATTGTGTTTGGTCTTCTTCAGGGCTTTACTGGACACCTTTTGATCCACATCGGAGGCATCAGCGGCACGCTTCTTGGAGGAAGGAGACATGATTGTGCAAGATAACCAGACGGGTTTGGTTAATATCGTCTCCGGAGTTCAGAGTCAGCGCACAGCGTTGGTTGGAAATTAAACAGAGTAAAAAGCCACCGGCAGCTTTTGAATGAGCAGCAAAGTGGACCACGGCGCTCGACGCGTTGTTGTCACACAATAGCAGTAGCACCAAGCTAGATATCACTCAGATAATAGTTAAAAGCCTTAAATTAATCTACAAAAGAGAGAATTATATACGCTCTTTAAATAAGTACACTTAGCTCTATATATTAAGTGTATATTAACTTAATTCTATATATATATATATTTATTAGCTCTAAGTAGGTATACTAAAGTATATAGGTATATTATTACTATATAATATACCTCTTAATTAAAGCTATATTTAAAGCTATTATAAGCTTTAAACTATATAAGTATATACTTAATAGAGTATTTAATTAAAGCTTTTATATACTTACTAATACTTTTAATTTACTTTAATTTTATTATTTTATATAGTATAGTTATACTATTTTTTTAGGTAAATTAAAAGTAAGTACTATATACTTATTAGCTAGCTGCTCTTTATATTTATATATACTTTCTAAGAGTATTATAAGCTCTCTTTTTTCTTTCTTCTGCAACTGCCTTTATATATTTATAAGCTTATATTTTAATTATTACTATTATTATTATTATTATGCCTACTAAGTTAAGTAGGTCTATTTATACTAACTACTAGCAGCTAGTACTAGTAAATTAAGGTATATTTATATCTACTATATTTAAGGAGCAGCTTAGTAGTACTACTTCTACTTTTAATACTAAGAAGGCGCTAGTAATACCTTCTTTCTCTATATATGATTATTTTTTATAGCATGCTAAGCCTATAAAAGTATAGAGAGTAAGTTATACTTAGAAGTATTACTTTATAAGTCTTATATACTAACTATTAAACTAAATCTCTAGAGCTAAATATACTATATAATATACTTTATAAAAGATATATTTATATAGCTATTATAAGTAAAAGCAATAAAGATTGCTACTTTAAGGTAACTACTAGTTGCTCTAAATAATACTACTTATATAAAGTAGGCAATTATACTTACTAGCTTTAGTAAGCTTAAATTTTACTTCTCTAATTAGCTAATTACTAATTATATATATAGTTATACTATATTAGTTTTTATTGCTAAGTAGATACTATTAGCACTAAGTATAAATAGTAAAATAAGCTTTTAATATTTTATTACCTTTAATTCTATACTTAATTTTAATACTTTAAGCTATAAATATATAATAAGTACTATTAAGTACTTTAATTATAACTTAACTTTCTTATAAAGTCTAACTCTATATATAAAGAGTTTATACTTAGTATTAAAGCTAATAATACTACTAAGAGCTTATTAGCAGCTAGAGAAAAAAAAGCTTATATAAAAGCTTTACTTAACTAAATTATAGACTTAATTATTAAGAAGTAAGCTTTACTTTTATTATTTTATTATATATATATTTTAATATAAGTAGTAGCTTACTTTTGCTTATAAGTATTTTAGTATTTAGTATTTTAGTATTACTTTATATAATTTTATTTACCTTCTAAGTATACTTTACTTAAAAAAGAAGAAGTAAGTACTTATATATTTAAGAGGCAATTAATTTAATACTCTCTTTTAGCTATACTTTTATTTATATAATTATAATATTATAAAAGTTAGCTTTAGCTACTTAAATTAACTAAATTAAGTAGGCCTTTAAAGTATTTAAAATACTACTTATTTAATACCTTTATAAATTTATTAGTAAGTATTTTAGCTATAAGTAAATATATAACTTTAAAGCTTTCTTTTTTATATTTTTATTTTAACTATATATTATAAATATTAATATAGTATAAATATATATTAATTTACTTACTTAAATTAAGTATAAAATAAATTATCTACTAATTATTATATTATATTAAATACCCTAGATAGCTATAAAGCTATATAACTAGTACATCTTCTTCTTATATTAAGCTTAGAAAACTCTTGAGTAGAAAGAAAAACTCTATCTGCTTCTGTTTTTGCTCTCTAGAGCAGCTCTAGCTCTATGCCGGCTAGAATCTGCCTGTCTTCTGCGTGTACATAAATATTGCTAGCTTTACTAGCTATATTCTAGAGGGGCTAATAACCCCTAAAAACTAAGCCTGCCTCTAGCTCTACGCTAGAGCTATACTGCTTCTATCTATTCTTCTGCTATATTCTCTAGCCTCTAATTATTCCCTCTCTCTAGGGATGCAATTTATCTCTATATAGTATATTATCTGTTGCTATCTTAGAGGTAGGCTAGTCTAGTTCTAGGTTATTATATAACTGCTAGTATAAATATTTAATATTTAGTTATAATAGCTTATATAGTTAGATTTACCTTACTTCTGTCTTATATATAAATTACCTCTTAGCTTTACAGCTAGCTATAGCTTAACTCTAGCTTTACGCTAGAGCTATTTTATGCCTGCTTAATTCTCTGTTCTATTTATTAGTCTTTAATTATCCCTGCTCTCTAAAGACACAAACTATCTTAGTATAGTATAATATTTATTGCTCTCTGAGGGGTAGGCTAGCCTAGTTCTATGCTATTATATAGCTGCTAGCATAAATATCTAGTGTTTAGCTATAATAGCTTATATATTTAGATTTACTTTATATTTATTTTATATATAAATTACCTCTTAGCCTTACAGCTAGCTATAGCTAATATAGCTGCTATATTAAATTTAGGCTTTTATTAAATATAAAGCTAGCTAAACTCCCTCTAACTTTCTTCTCTTTTTTCTTCCTCTTTTAACCTCTTGCTCTTAATATATACTAAATCTTACTAATATACTAGCCTTACCTACTGTCTAGCTAAGCCTAAGCTAGTCTTTATATAGATTCTAGCTAACTTCTTGCTAGAACTATTCTTATTGCCTCTACTGCTGCTGCTATTGCCTTTAAATACAGTTAGAACTTATTATCTATATATATATGCTTTATATCTACTCTATATTAAGCTTAACTCTAGAAAATTGCTAATTATTATTAGTAGCTATTATTATATCTACTTTCTAATTTAATAATATAAAGAAGGTTATAGTAAGTCTAAGCTAGCGCTAGCCTATTCTCTGCCTAGAGGCTAACTACTGTAAAGACCTCTAGTGCCTTTAAGGGCAAAACAATAACTAAGTCCTAGTCCTAAATAATTATTATATTAAATATTATAATTCTCTTTTAAGTTAAAATAAATATTATAAAAAAAGCACTTTAAAGCTATAATTTTCTTTACTACTTATTATAAAGTAAGTAGTTTAGCCTTTATTATAAATATAGTTACTATATTTTAGTATATAGCTTTCTAGATAACTAGACCTCTAAATAACATAATAATATATTCTTATAATAACCTTTATGTGCTTAAATTATCTATATATAAAGTGTTACTTATAACTTTTAACGCTTTAATTTCCCTCTATACTACTATAATAAAGAGTAACTTTACTTATTAAAGCTAAGTATTAAATAGCTTAGTTTACTACTTTTTAATACTTAAGGCTTAAGTTTATTAGAAATTATAAAAGCTTAAAAGTAGTATAAGTAATATTTAGTTTAATTATAATTACTATATATAATAAAGAGCTAACCTTTTTCTAGTAGGCTTTAATTTCTTGCTTAGTTGCCTTACTAATA